GACTTCCCAACTGTCCATTTTCTCGCTGCCACTGACTCTCAAGCTTCACACCCTGCAGTTCCCAGATCTAGGCTGTCTGCTCGTAGATTCTGTCTCAACTAACATTACCTTTGTCCCTCTTCTAACCCTCCACCTCTGGGAAACAACATACAACTTTAAGGACTACTAACTTCACCACATCCATATGGTAAGAGCACCTGCTTACTGGGCACTGACTGGGTACCTGCCTGGCTTTGTTCTTTATTGCCATGTGCTGGGCCTTTGCATGGATGTGCTTGTTTGATCTTCGGTGTTCCTTGGAGGCTGGTGAAATTATCACCCCATTTAAAAGGTAGAAAAACAGAGGCACAAGTGGTTAAACAACCTGCCTGGTGTCACAGCTAGGACGTGCTGGTTTTAAACATAAGCAGTCTCAGTCTAAGCCCCAGCTCCCAACCACTCTATTTTCTTGTATGACCCAAACGTTTAAAATTCAGAGGAATTGGGAAAAGGAGCATCATCTTTGTCCTGTGAATGTCAGAGTTTTATTTGCTTCCTCTTTTTTTTTCATCAAAACTTCTTTTACTACAGAGTTGGATATCTGATTTCCCCTGGTTATATTCTGCTGGTGTTTTATCTCCTAAGGCATTCTCTAAATCTCACCAAAATCTCTTACGCTCAGAAGTAGGCATATTTTCTCTTGCTCTGTCACCTGTAGAGATGGAAAACTGCTCATTAGCATGTTCTTTCTCATGCTTGAAAATAGCTTTAAGATGTCTCAAAACTCTCTGGGCAAGAAGGACCTGGCCCCTTTCCATGAGGCTGGTTTCCTGTCCCCTGCCCTGAGAAAAGTGTTCGGACTTTACAGACTCTCTCTTCCCACTGGTTATGTGCTGGACAATGGGGTCACACCTAGAGTGCAGGTGGGGAACTCTCCCCTGCACAGAATTTTATTTTAGTTTAATTTGTTATTTTAATATTCCAGTACGTTTAGAAAGGAGATAAAAGTGGAAGGAAGTAGTGAAAAAAAAAACTTATCCCTAAGACCTCCTCTCCTGACATTTTTATACAGACTAGAACTTACTTTGAACCCGAGGGCCTGCCTACATGCCAGGTGCTGCTCACAAGGGCCTGTGGCAGGGACACAGTCCTGGTCCTGAGTTTCTTGCAGTCTGAGCTGGTGAGCACTGAAAACAGCTTCAAAAAATTTCCATTTCAACCAGCGTTTACTGAGCATCTGCTGTGACCAGGGAGTCTTCTGCACACTTTGGGTACATCAGCAAACAAAGATCTCTGTCTTCATGGAGCTTACATTCTAGTGGGGAAGGGAGACAATTAGTTGATAAATGCTATAGAAAAAAGAAAAGGAAGGGGGCTGGGGTACAGGGTGTGGGTGGGGAGGCTGCAGGATTAGATGTAAGTCAAGGCCTCCTAAGAAGTTTAGATTTGAGTCAAGACTTGAAAAAGGTAAAGGATTTGGCTGTGGGATATCTAGGAACCCAGTGTTTCAGGCAGAGGGAATAGCTAAAGCCTCAAAGAAAAAAATCCAACACAAACACCAGGAAGGGGATACCCAAAAGATAAGGAATCTGAGAAAGGGGCCAAGGGGAGGGAGGAAGGAGGCTGAGCATGCCTAGGCTAATTGCACTGTGGCTGCCCTGCTGGGTGGGATGATTTACCTGACCCAGAGGACCAGGCTCAGCCCAAATCTCTGGGCCAAGGGAAATTAGCTCTGATCCAGGCTCTTTCACAATTAAGCCATGGCCTTCAGTAAGTCGCATACTCCCTGGGACTCAGTGGCCATGTCTGTAAAAGAAGACAGGCAACATCTGGCCATTCCCTGGTCTTCTGCAAGTACTTTATAAGAATAATAGTAATAACAATAGTAGTTATAATAGTAAAGTTGCAAATAAGATGGCTATTGCAGTATCTTCCTGGGGTGAATAAGATAATTATTTTCATTACTGAAACTTTTAAAAATCAAAAGCAAAACCATCTAACTTATGTGGTTTCTGAGGAAAAAAAGACAAGAGAATGGCCTCTGGTCAGGAAAAAAAATGAGGTGAAAAAGGCAAAAGGCTTCCTCTCACCAGCATTTAACCGTCATCCTCTTTGTGGGAGCTGGGTTCTGAGGCCCCTCTGGGCTGCTCCTGAGAATAGTTCCTTAGCTGAGCTTTAGAACACCCGCAAGCAGCCAACTGTCAGTTTGGGAAGGTTTGGAAAGTATTATGTAAGGCAAAAAAAAAAAAACAAAAAAAAAACCCAACCAAAAACAACGGTTTTTGACAAATTAAAAAAAAAAAGAAGACATGGCAAGGTTTCCTAGCCTTTAAGGTTGTAGGGACCAGAAATGCAAAATTGTGTTCTCACAATCTACTGATTTGCTAAAAGGGGAGATTTGAGAGCACATTTTCAGACACTTGGTTTGCCTGGATTCAGGGCCATGTAGGTAAGGGCTTTCCCTACCCAGACAAACAAGAGTGTTCAGCTTTTTTAATGCCAAGACAGAGTTGGGGTGAGCCTGCTGGAAAAAAAGGACTAAAAAGAAAAGTCCTCCCAGAAAGTACATCCATAAAGGATTGCTTAGGTGAGGAGTCACAGGACAGGCCCAAGTCAGGGTCTGAAGTCTGACTGTCAAAAGTCAAATCTCACCTGTAATAATAGCTCTCTGTGTCTCAATTTCCTCATCTGTATAACAGTAAAGTGATACCTCCTTCACAGGGCAGTTATGATGATCAAGTGAATTAACATAATGAAGTCTTTAGAATCAAACATAAGTCCTAGAAAAACAGCCAATAGTGGGTGTTTTTGTCTCTGGGTTACATGGGTTCTTCCTAATCAGCCTCTGAGTGTTTTTCATTGAGGGCTGCCTATTTAGGGAACATTTTCGGTACAAGCACACTTTCAGGTCATGCAGGTCTCTTCTTTCTAACTGATATTTTCCTTAATCTTAAAAGAATCACCGTTTCCTAAGCCAGCACTGTAAAATAGAAATACAATGCAAGCCACAAATGTAGGTTGCCATATATGATTTCAAATTTTTGGTAGCCACACTTAAAAAATAGAATGAAAAAGGTGAAATTAATTTTAATAACACATTTTAACCTAATATATCTAAAATATTACTTCAATATATATTATGAATGAGATTTTACATTTTTTTTTCTTACTACATCTTTGAAATCCAATATCTGTTTTACAGTTACACATTATCTCAATTCAGACTAGCCACATTTAAAGCACTTAATAGTCATATGTGGCTATCATGATGGACAGTACAGTTCTAAATGACAGGAAGACGGTTCTTGGCAGTGAGCTTTGGTGGGCTAGTCAGGCTGGGCCCTGACCCTCTCCCAGTCACCACTAATGATAACCAGAAAGGCCTCTGGGATGCAGGATCTTCTGGTCATATGGAATAAGGAGGTTTTTGATGCAAGCTGTACAAGTTCAACAGTGTGGTTTTGAACTGAGATCTATTAGGCAAGCTCTTGCTTGCCCCTAACGGTCTTTTCTTCCCTTCCCACTAACCCCATCCTCTACCTCCATCTGTCTTGATGATTACAATCTAAAATAAGTTTATTAATTATCATCCTCTATTAAAATGCAAATGTTGGGATAATATCTTTATTGAGTATCACCTGAGACTAAGGTAGTTGAAACAGAGATTAGGATGGGAAGTAGAATGTGTTCTGGGGTTCTATTTGGAGGCTCTGTAAAGTACCATAGTATAAAAACCATCAGGGGGAGGGTACAGCTCAAGTGGTAGAGCATATGCTTGGCATGCACGAGGTCCTGGGTTCAATTCCCAGTACCTCCCCTAAAAATAAATAGTAAATTTAATTACCCCCAACCCCCCCAAAAAAACAAATAAAAATAAAGCTTAAAAAAAAATCAGTGATAGGAAAGCCTTGCAGAACGGATTCTGCAGGTTCTCAGCCTTTAATGAGCCCTTCCAGCACAAATCACTTAGTTCTAACAGGAACCTCATTAACCAAAGGCAGCAGTACTGAGAGTGAGAGCAGACACCATTTGAACACCTTGGGTTCAAATTCTTTAGGTGAATGAATCTGAATCTAAAAACTACACGAGGAGTCCCTTAAAGTAGGAATTTTGCAGACTTGTCCTGCCCATCCATTCCCAGCAGCCCAGAGGAAAAAGAGCCTACCCCTTCTCCCTTCAAAGGAATCACCCTTTGATTCCATTCTGGGAAATTTCAGTTTGGTCTTTAAAGTAGGATGTGTCTTGGGGAAGGCTGCCTTGATTTCTAGGACAGGACCTGCTTCTTCATCTCTCCCTTTCCCCATTCTGTTGTCTTAGGGTGAATTTGCTTATCTTTCCTCCAAACTATTATTATAAGCTTGTTTGTTTTTTTTTTAATTTGGGGGGGGAGGAGGTAATTAGCTTTGTTTGTTTGTTTATGGAGGTACTGGGGATTGAACCCAGGACCTCATGCATGCTAAGCATGCACTCTACCACTGAGCTATACCCTCCCACATTATAAGCTTGTTTGAAGGGGGTCTCATTTCCCTATTTCCAAGTTCTTGGAAAGAGTGGAAGGAACCCCACTTTCACCCCTATGAGCTGGTAATGTATCTTATACCTCAATGTGCATCTTAATGTCTGAAACAAAACTCTATTCTTGTTTCATCTGTGGTGAGACTGGACTATCTACCTAACCCACAAATGTTCCTTCCCTTCAGCATTCCTAACTTTCCTTTTTCCCAGTCTATAGTATTCCCAGCTACATTGCCTTGAGGAAAATTACTTTTATCTGGCAGTTCCTGACTGCTGATCTCTGACTCAACTTCTTTAGTCTCATTGTGCCCCCAGGGAGGTTATCCAAAGAATGCTCTCTATTAATTGGTTTTTTTAAGTTAACTTTTGTCAATAATTAACATTTTTATCGAGTGTTTTTTTCCTTGATTACTAATATGATACATAATTTTATTCTATAAAATTTGGCATAATCTAGAAAAGATAAAGAAGAAGCATCTGTCATTCTACTGTCTAGAAAACACCACTGTTATGTTTTGGGTAAGCAATAGTTATTTGAGCCCATTATATTTTATACCAGTCAAAACTGTATCTCTGGAATAATCTAGGAAGACAAGACTAGCACATGCAACAAAATAGAAGTATTCAATACAGATTTCATTCACTTAACCATTCATTCAGTGCTTTATGGGAAAGTACAGAAACATGCTAACTTCATTTAGAAGTTTAGTTCACTTGGGGATATCATCAAATGTACAGCATATTATTGAGGTCAGAAGAGCAACTGATTCCTGCAGTAGATTCTATCTCTTTGGATGGAGATTTAGGCAGTATCTTTTCATTTTATTAGAGGGAGTTAAAAGTTAAGATTTCCCATGAGAAAAATTTTTACTATCTCAATGTAATTACTGTGACCAAATGGTGAAACTTCTAAATAGCACTTTACTAAAAGGATTCTGTTCATTTTTCATGTTTGTGATCAAGATACCCCATACCCTCAAAAAAGAGCCTAGAGTCTGGCAAAAAATAAGAACCAACTGAAGTGTAGTAACTTAATCAGTAAATGTGGTCAGCCTCAGAGGATTGAAATCAACAGGCCGTTAAAAGTCTGGTTGATGTTCTGTGGTTACAAATTAAGGCGCAAGAATTTCTCTCTCCTTAGTGACCAATAACCTTAAATATAAGTGCAGGTTTATGAATTTCAGTATGTATGTGTTTTGGGGAGTAGGAGTGAAGTCAGGTTGTGAAGCCTAGGAAATACTGTCATTGAGTTTGGGAACTTGGAAAGTTTGCTGATCTGCAGAGGGAGCTCAGAGCCCTGAGGTGGTGAATTGATGGAAGAATTATGGAATTGGCTGGAATCAACAGCCAAGTTAGTTCTGCGGACACTTGAAGGGCCAGGTAGTGCCACAGGGTAAGGTATAAAATAAAAGCCATAAGAGGAGATGAGTGGGACCCCAGTGTGCAAGCAAGTGGTGTGTGCCACTTTGAACTACCAAAGGCAGGACATGGCAGCAGTAATCTCTGGATAGAAGGTGAGGAGAGATTTGTCCTTTCCTTTAAGTCCTCTTTCGCCATTCTTCAACTGCCCACGTTTACATAGTAAGCATTTATTAATTTTTAATGAAAGAATATAATTTACTAAAGATATAAAAAATAATTTAGGATAGTATTGATAGAAATTATGTCCTGGGGAAGAGATAAGACTCAAAAAGTCAGAGAAGAACCTCCTTTCTTGATTCATTTTCAAAAGGTCTTATTCTCCTGAACCCATAAGTCCATTCCTGTTCCCCCATGTCTGAAGTATTTCCTAAGAGATTTGTTTCCAATATTTTTGATCCTTGTGAAAATATCCCCAAGAAAAGTAACACCCCCCCCGTTCCCAGTTATTTATATCAATAATATTCAGCATATTCAGCATGTGGCTTTTCCATTGCAACTTTTGGTTCTTCAAAGCCCTGTAATTTTGGAATTGGAATGTCATATTCTACTAGACTCAAAGTTGAGTTTAAGAAGTTCTTCTATGCCTTTTTGAAAAAATAGAATTTATTTTTTAGAGCAGTTTTAGGCTCACAGTTTAGTTGATCCAAAGGTACAGAGAGTTCCTATATACCCCTGCCCTCTGTTTTACTTCTTGTCAAATTGTAGACCCAAACTATGGTGGTGGGGAAGCTCTTCCTCTCCCCCATCCCTAGTCCATGATTAAAACACTGAAGTTCCCAAAATTTTATGTATTTGGCAACACCTGGGGAAGCTTCTGGAGTAGGACTGTGAAAGCCTTCAACAGCGGGGCACCTGCTCCTAGCAAACCGAATGTGTGGCTATGGTGATGAGAAGGGAGGTTTGAGGAAAGAAGCTGCTGGGGATGTCTGTGAGCCTGTGTCCTCTCTTAGGGCACCCATCCTGCAGGCACCCACCCACTGATACTCGGTGAGGGGTCTAAGAACACAGTGGTAGCTGCTCCCTTCATACCAGAAGAATCAAGATACTTTTCTATCTTGGCTACAGTCTCCTCATGCACTAAAGGGAGGAGTGGGACTGAGAGTAGAACAGAAAGGATGGGAAACTCGAAGGATGCCTGAGATTCAAGAATAAAGGAGTTGCTTTTTAAAGAAAAAAAAATTTTTTTTCCTCAAGTTCCTCTTTTTAATAAGGAGATGTTTTCTTATTTACATGGACTCCAAATAAGATAAAGAAACCTTTTAAAAAGGTTGATTTTTAAAAGTGTTTTATTATGGAAATTCTTTAAAAAATACTGAAGTAGGGAGACTAGTATCATGGGCCCCTGTTTTCCATTACTCAGCTTCAGTTGTTATTATTATTATTATTATTATTATTATTACACTATTATTATTACTATTATTATGCTATACCTCTCTCATCCTCCCTCCTCAAACTGGATTATTTAGAAGCAAATCCCAGTCATTTTATCATTCTAAATAGGAATATTTCAGTACGGACCTCTAAAAAAGAGAAAAAAGGAAGTCTCATGATTACAAATCTTAACCTTGTTTTTTCCTCATTCTTCATCTGTCACTGGACTTTGAACCTGAGTTCTAGACCTGGTTTGCCACTCACCAGCTGTGTGACAGCAGCAAGTCATGTAACCTTTCTGGACCTGTGCTTTTCTCACCTAAGTGGGTGAGGTAGATGATATCTAAGACCTCTTGCAGTTCTAGAGATCAAAAAGTCTTGCAAAGGTCATTCTTTCAGCATCCAGAGACATAGTACAGATTTGGTACAGGATCTATTTCCTGTTTGTTTTTTGGTGCAGTGCTCAGTTCAGAGTCAAGACCTTCTCAGTGAAGATCCAAGAAAGTCCCAAGGGCTGCTGAGTGGCAGAATCTTTAACTTGGAGCTTTAAAAAAGGACTGAGCCCTGGAACCATCCCTGGGAGCAGTTTTGTGCTGCTCTCAGTATCTCCTCTGACAACCTCAATGTACCTTAACAAGTATTCTGCTGAGTTGTGATGCTGGGAAGGTTCAAGTTCTCTAAACAGATCCACCTTTTCAAAAGACCACCCTGAAACCCATAGCTAATGAAAAGTGATGTTTACAGTGCTTTGGGGTGGCTGGGCAGTGGGGGGTGGGTGTGATTAGTTACACTTTTAGAAAACAAGGAACTGATTTTTGTTTGTTAAGGAGTAAGGATACCCATTATACAGGCAAATTGACTGAGTGTGAAGTAAAGTAGGTACATTTAAGGTTGCCTGGTAAATGAAAGATTAAGTCCAGGATAGAATTTCTTTTAAAAGTATGGAAAACTTATTGTAGATGTTGAGGTTTAGGGAAAGACAGGGGTTCTCTTTGGTTAATGAAGGAAGCTTTGGGCAAGAAGGTGGTACCCAGCACAGAGAAGCACTGCCAATGCGACCCTCACATTGTATGACACAAGCTTTCATGGGCATTCTCTTGTTGCCTTCCCACACCATCCTTAGAACTAGAATGATAGGAGCCCAAGGAGTAGGTGGCCCAGCATCTCTCAGCTAGAAGGTGAGGGAGGTGAGCTTGGACCCAGACTTGTGGCTGCCACGTGCATGTCCTGTTTCTCTGCATCTTGAAGAGGGATAGGGAAATGAAACTGGAGAAAGGCTATTTGGAAAAAGAAACTCGGTTGTCAGTGTAGCAAGAGTAAAGCAAATGCTTACTAATGCTGCACTTTACTTTTCCTTCTTTTTTTTTTTAATCACCATGACCCAGAGAATGAAAAAAATGGACTCAAATGGAGAAAAAACCTCCAAAATTACATTTTAAAGCGCAAGCTCTAATCAGCTTTGAGGTTTTGCAGGAACCTTATTGAAGCTACAGACAAGGTTATTGTTTTAGTGCCAGTGTTTTAAATGGGGGGGGGGGTAGGGTTAAAGGGACCAAAGATGAGGGTTGTTATTTCAAGCTGAAACCAGTATTCCATAGTGGGGAACTCACTAGGTCTGTGAGTTTTGGGGCTGGTTAGTGCACTTGGAGAAGTCTCTGGACACACTGAGGAGGGTCAAAGTATGCATTCTTTGTAACTGTTGTGGACTTGTACCACAGCTACTCAGCGATTAGATTCTGAGGCCTGTCCTTAGCAGGAAACGGTAAAGGAATCAGCAGGAAGCCGAAAACAAGGGAAGGGAAACTCCTCCCTCCTGTCAAAAGAACAGACTCTGGTGAAGATGATAATGGAAATGGGCGTTGTAGGGCTAGACAGGTTGAAATGGAGAGTGGTTAAATTTTGAATGGAAATAAGGCAAATGTACCTTACGGCATGTGACAAACTGCTGTGTTTACTGTGATTTTAATATGGAGCCTGAACCATGTGTTCCTGAAGTCCTCCAGAAGTCCCCACAGAATCCCCAGGACATGGGAAAAATGCTGTTCCTTTATTTCCAAGGGCAGTGGTTTGTGTGTTTTCTGAGGTCCAGCAGTCCATTGACAAGACAACCTCCCCTTGTTTCTGATTTCCAGCTTATTCAAGGCCAGAGGACCCAAAAGCCAAGTTAAGAAGTTTTACCAGGATATAAAATGAAAGTACAAATGGAATAAAATCATAAGGAAAACTGGGTGTGAAGAAGCAGAGGACCACAAAATCATTTTTCTGTTTTACCCAGTTCGTTGTAACCGAAAATCCTCACTAGATTCTTGAGGTAGGGGAAGAGCCGGTGATTCAGTGGGAGAAACTGAGTCCAATAAGAAGAAACTGGTTATCTGAAATCCGACAACACTTTCTTGTAGGTTAGAATTCAGCTTTGAAGTTTCACTTGGCTCAGTAAGTTATGCTACTCCTGATGAAAAAGAAAATTTAGAGTATTTTATGTTGAAGGGCCTCAGTGATGAAAAGGCAGCATCTATCTCACTTATCAACTGTGCAGTGAGCTCTTAATGTTAGCAGTCTTGTGTTTAGATTGTTACCTGAAGAAAAAAAGACAAACTGTCCAGAATGCTGATTCTACTGTTTTAGTAGGAAAAAATTTCTAACAGGCAACTGGCAAACAACAAAACTTTTGAAAAAGCAGTCCTGGGGAGAGTCCAGTGCAGTTTCATAATGGGTATGAATAGTTACTTTGCTGCTTTTTTTTTTTTTTAAATCTTTCTGGGGTTTGATGTGGATCTCTATTTGTTCAGGAAATTGTGACGTGTGTTCTGGGCAGGGTCTGAGGTTTTGGAACCTTTTCTAAAAGGAACAGAGAGCACCCTGCTACATTTCCTTGTTGTGAGGTTGGCGTGCAGGCAGTGAAGCTCAAGTGAGCTGGTCATCATGCAGGTGATCCTCCAGGGCAGCAGGCTTGTCTTGGCTCTCGCCTTCATCCTGATTTTGGATTCTTCAGCTCAAGGTAAGACCCAGGAATCTTGTCCCCCTGTAATCCTCCTTGTAAGCCCCAGGGTCCACACAAATAATTATATTCACTTTAAGGTACAGAACATATTATATTGTGGGAAAGTAGGCAAAAAAAAAAAAGGATTTGGGGGTAGCTGAACTCCTTAGTGTGAGGTGTGAGTTTGGTTACATTTGGTATCAAATACAAAAACCAGAAAACTCTGAGCTGGTGTGGCCTTGTAAGTTCTCATAACGATTGAAATGTACTATTTTATTTTTGAATGAAAGTGTATGGTTTATAAATTTTTAAAAGCTCAAAAAAGGAATATAGAAAATGACTTACCCCTAAGTGTCTACTTCAATCCCAAATTTTAACATAATACAGTGTTGTCATAATTTTTGTGACACTGGGAAATGCTATTTTAAAAATCAGAGTAAATTTGACTGCATGTATTTTATCTTCTTTTTTAAACTTGATTCTTAGTGAATATTCAATTATGGTTAGGTATATAGTTAATTCAAACCTTCTCAGATTTTAAAGAGAGGCCAAAGGATTTTAGTAATTGTGCTGTTGCTCAGAGAAACATCACATTTGGAATTTCTTGTTAGGCTTCTCTATCATTCAGGGTTGTTTAGTCAGAATGAAACAACTTAGAACATTTAATGACTAAGAAAATGAAAATGATTAGTTTGTAAGAAAAATACAATTTCCTCTCCTTTGGTAAGTAAGGGATCATGTCTGAATAAGGCAGAAAGTCATAGCCTGATAAATAGATGGGAGAATGTATCGTATGAAAACATTAAGTTCCCCCAAATCATAAGGGAAATATTGAGTCATAGTGACATACATGTCATGGATTTGTTTATTCAAAGTAACTTCTAGTCGTCTTGTTTTTACTTCCGGTGGAAATGAATATGTACAGATGATCTCAGATATATTCATTATGTATTGGAAATTTATAAAATCACTTTCTTCTTGTTATGCAATTATTGAAGAAAAAAACCAACAAGTAACGTTGCTGAAACTTTTCCATTAATCTATTTAGTTTTTAAAGTATAAAACATTGTTGACTATAAGGAACAGGTTTTACTTGGATCTTTTAGGGGAAAACTTCAGTTTTATGAAATAATTCCCTAATATGTTTTGACAAGATCCAGGCAGTGATGTCTGTGTTTGTAGCACAGACTTGAGTGACAAGTTGGTGCTGGGTTCACCCTGACCAGAGCTATATGAGTCTTTACATTTTCAAAATTTCCCAGAAATGTCACATTTCCTAGTAAGATTCAATAGGGAAAACTAAAATTAAAACAAAACATTCTCTATGTAGTAGGTATTCTTCAGAAAGAAATGAAGAAAGAAATCGTTATGAAATTGTATAAAGCACTAGCATTTATGTTGTCACTAGGTGGGTTTAGTTCTTTGTTGGAAAAGGAACCAAAAAAGAGAGAATGAATGCACTGAAAAACTAGGGTGTTTCCAAAGGAGAAGTGCATTTGGTGTTGCAATTAAGGATCTGTGCCCACATCTGAATAAGAAGAAAAATAGATGTCCATCCATGGCTGCATGGGTGAGTGACAGAAACTCAAGGCTGCAGTGCAAAGAAGCCACTATTTCACCATACTTCCATGTGATGCTGGATCTGATTCTGCAGCATTCTTTCCCCATTAAAAAAAATTTTTTTTTCTTAACCCAATTGATCAAATCCACTAGACTGGCCTGCCTTTACTGAAACAACACATCTTAAGTTACTGAATTGGCTTGCTAGGGCTGCCATAACAAAGTACCACAGACTGAGTGGCTTAAACAGCAGGAATTCATTTCCTCACAGTTCTGCAGGCTAGAAGTCCAAGATCAAGGTGTCAGCAGGGTTGGTTTCATTCTGAAGCTTCTCTCCTTGGCTTGTAGATGGCTGGCTTGTCTGTCTTCACCGGCTGCTTCCTCCGGGTGTGTCTGTGTCCCAATCTCCTCTTCTTATACGAACATCAGCTATATTCAATTAGGGCTTATCCATATGACTGCATTTTATCTTAATTACCTCTTTTAAAGCCCCATCTCCAAATGCAGTCCCATTCTGAGGTCCTAGGGGGAGGATTAGGACTTCAACACATGAATTAGGGAAGGACACAGTTCAGCCTTTATCAGTGACTATAAGTCAAACCCAAGTAAAGAAATGGTGTAAAAGCGTGCCTACTGAGTGTAAAGAGAAGGAAGTTTGACTACGTGTGGGAGATCCCAGAGAGGACAGATGGCCAATCAATTTAACATAGAGCTCCAGGGGATTATTGATGAGCCTGTGAATCCTTTTATTGCCTTTTTTTTTGCAAAGATGTCCATAAAGAGGGGAAATGGAAAATCCATGAGCAGATATGGTCAAAGGAGTCAGTGCCAGACCAGGTGTCCACTCTACACTGCCTCTGAGATCACAATAATGATATTGATTCCACCTACCTGCACTGCTATTTGACTGTAAAGTGATTTCACATCTGTTTTCTGGTGAATGATCATCACATTCCCTGTGAAGAGGAATTAACACCAATTTATAGAGGAGAAAATTGGATCTTTCATTCATCATCTCATTTGCTCTTCAAATCAACCTCTTGCAAAAAATTTATGAAACTTGCCCAAAGCCCACAACAACAAACTAATCGCAGAGCTGGTCATCTGATTTCAAGCACAGAGTTAACTTTCTACCGCAATTTAGCTGTATTCTAGGTAGACTGGAGATTTTCTTTATTTAAAACAACCAACCTTGCTTTTAACTATAGCCCTTGCTACAAAGACCACTGAGTTGAGGGACAGAAAGGGAGAAATTGAAAGCAAACTTGGAACTTTATATAGCTTGTCAATCCATGCAAGGGTGGGAGAACCTTATCCATCTTGTAGAATTTATTGGCCTGTAGGAAGCAACTTCAACTTAGACAGTGATGTCGGTTTGAATGCTACTAAATGATGAATCAAAATGGTCTTCTTCCCTCACTCGCAACATGGCAGTTTCTCCTTGTTTTTCTAACACGCCTGCAGCAAATCTCATTAAGAATAAATTAGTAAATTGTGATGATTTGGGGGGAAAATTGATACTATAATGTAAAAAGGTACAGAGAGATTACTGGGGTAAGTTATTTGCTTTGGTAATGTTTATGCATAGAAAGTATTTTGCTAAAGCAGGACTAGTGACTCTGTGTGTGTGAGAGAGATGGAGTCAGAGAGGGTGGAGGTGGGCAGTGAGGGTAGTGATTCTAAATAAAAACCATTCTTTCCCTTTGAATCCACTACAAAATTAACCAGTCGATCTGCTAGTGGGACCTGTTAGGAAGATAATTTTTCTGTCCATGAGCATACTCCCTTTTACTTTTTAAATTATGGTAATCGTAAGACATTTCTGTCAAGCAAGATCGAATCAAGGTACTCCCACACATCATTGGCTGGAACTGTTGAACTTTCACATCCTGCCAACATCCTTGAAAAAATATGTCAGGAACTTTGTGATGATGTTCTTTATTTTAAAGCAGATTTAAAATCACCAGTCATGACGATCGTTTGGTAAGGTGTAGCAATATAGAATCACTACATTATGCAGCTGGAACTAACATAGTATTGTACGTCAATTTACTTTAAAAAAACCCCTCATATTATTTTATTATATGGAATGTTCAACTTGGTTAACATATTGAAACCAAAAGTAGATTGATTAGTGGTTACTGAGGGATGAGACACATAAGATACAGGAGCTGGATAGCTAAAGGATAGCCTATGGCATTCTGTGATGATAAAATTGTTCTAAATTTGTGATAGTTGCACATAATATGAATATGCTAAAAACTTTTATATATTAGAATTTTATATATTAGAAGAGTGAATTGTGTGCTATGTTAAATATATACCAAATACATACCAAATTTTTTTAATTAAAAAAAATCATCAGTCCCAAATTACATAAACTTTTTTTTGGGTGGGGGGAGGGGTGGACTTCTACTTTTGATTTCTTTATAAATTTTGGAACAGCTTTATTGAGATAGAGTTCACATACCATACAATTCACCCATTTAAAGTGTACATCAATGGGTTTTTAGTATATTCACAGGTAAGTGCAACCATCACCCTAGCCAATTTTGGAACATTTTCATCACCCCCAAAAAGAAACTCCTCTTTATAAAATTTAAAAGTTGAGATTCTGAACTCTAGGGGAAATTCTGTATTTCAGAATTTTTCTAATTTACCAAAGTTGTGTTTTTTTTACAGCAGTGAAAAGATGTGATCTTTCACTTGGATGCTTCCTCATAAAGTATCAGTTTTAGTTTTCTGTTTAACTTCCTATCTATGCAAGCATTTCCTCAGCTAGATATTCAGCCTTCAGTCACGGTAGAGGAGAATGTCTAGACCTGCCTGGTCCAAAATGGTAGTCACGGGCCTCTTATGGCTACTAAGCACTTGAAATGTGTGAAATGCAGTGAGTACAAATTGGGACATGGTGTAAGCACAAAATATACACCAGATTTAAAATCTTAGCATAAAAAAAGTGCAAAATGTCCATTAATAACTTTTATATTGATTATGTTAAGTGACGATTTAAAACATATTAATTTAAGTAAAGAGTTTTAAAATTAATGTCACTTGTTTCTCTTTAACTTTAAAAAATGTCTGTGGTAACATTGAAAATTCCATACATGTTCGTATGGTTCCTCTTGTTTCTATGGGACAGCGTGGGTCTAGATGGCATTGGGTGTGAAGACATCGCCCTCTGCTGGAGTAGATGTCGGATTTTTATCTGACTTAACATGACGAGGCTTCTAAGCAGCAATTCATTAGATGCCAAATGTCCTCAGGAAAGAATTGGAGGAGAAAGAGCTAAAAGTATGAAATACCTACCACGTGCAAAGGCTTGTGCTAGCTGTTTCACATACTTTTACCTCATATAAACAGAAACTCTTTGGGATACTATTGTTCATACCTGAAAGATGAGAAATTGAGAATCAGAGAGGTACTAAATGGTAGAACAAGAATTTAAATTTTAGTCTCTTTACAAACTATTTACTATCAGAGATGGATCAATAGGTCACTGTCATCCTTCTCAGCATCGGGAAAATTAGCATTTAAAGAGCTCTGACAGAGCTCTAACAGTATCTGTTAGATACTGTTCTAAGAACCTAATATTTATATCTCATTATTAGAGCTATTACTGTCCCCATTTTATGAATGAGGAAATTGTGGTACAAGGAGATTAAGTTGGTCAAAGTTACATAGCTAGTAAGGGGGAGACACCATCATGTCATCTTGCTACCTCACCTCCAGCCTCCAAGCAATGACACAGCTAAGCCATTCTGGATGCCTGGAGTCCCAGACCAGAAATACAAGCTATATTCAGGAACTATGGGGAAGACTGTAGCAGAACAGGAGTTCTGAAAGGAAGAATGAAAGAAAAAAGACAGAAAGAAAAAGAAAGAGGGAAAAGAACAATGGGAGAACATTTGAGAAAATGGGAGAACACCTGAGAACAAACATGAGAAGAAAAAAAAATCACCAGAGTTAACCATTGTCATTATTTTTGTGTGTTTCCTCCCATTTCCCCTCAATACCTGTTTATGTAGTTGTACTAACAACTACATTATGCACAGAGTGGTATTCTGCTTTTTCTCACTCTTTTTAAAATACAGATTTCCCTATGATGCTACATAGTCCTTTCCATAAGTACTATGTTTTTCCCATTTGGTTAATACTCTCTTATATGAATGCCTCATAATTTATCTGAGTATTTTCTATTGTTTTGATTATTTAATTATTTTCTGTTTCCCTATTTTTAAGTAATACTAAGGTGAAAAGCTTCACATTATCTTTTATAATTATATTTTCTTTCTATATATATGTATATCATGTATCTCTTAATGATGTAATAACTTGGAAATGCTGTATTTATAAAATTAATCAAACATATTAGCTAGGATAAAGTTGAGTGTAAACAGACATAATGGAGAGTCATGAAGAAAGAGGACATTTTGAAAAAGTTCTGTGGTTCTGAAATCTTTTAAGAACAAAGTCTTTGGTCATCCCATTCAGATGTAAAGTGAACTTGACCTCGGTAGAGGCTCCACTTTTCAACCTCTCATAGTTGAGAACTGGACACAACTTGTGCATATGCTCCTAGAAACACAGATAACCAGGGGAAAAAAAAGGCAAAATTCAAAAATTCATGGTCTCTGGGGGTTTAGGTAATGATACTAGGAGTAACTTTTCTTGTTTGCTATATTTTTAAATTTTTGATAATGAACACATATTTCTTTTCTAACATAAAAGTTATTAAAAACTGCAACAAAGGCAGTCTAGATGTAAGGAATATCTAGATGACTCTCCATTTCTAAGAGAGAGTACTATAACAGGTAGAGACCCTTCTACACTCAAAGTCAGGAAACCCTTTGACAAGTTGCTGTATGAATCCATTTACATATAATTCTAGAAAATGCAAACTAATTTATAATGACTGAAAGCAGATTGATGGTTGGGAGGTGGCGAATGGAAGGGGTTGGGGGGAGTCATGAGGCGGGAGGGAGAAGGGAAGGATCACAAAGGGGCACAAGGAAACTCTGGGGGGTGTTGGATGCGTTCATACCCTTGATTGTGGTGATGATACCATGGTGTATCCATATGTCCAAACATTAAACTGTACACTTTAAATATGTACAACTTATTATATGTAATTCCACCTTAATGAAGCTGTTAAAAAATAAAAATAATTTTTATTAAAATACTCAAAAATCTAAAGGTTCAAAGGTACATGCAGTGAAAAGTTAAGAGTCGTTCCTTCCACCATCTTTCAGCTACCAATTCCCTCTACAAAGACAATCAGTTTGTTGTGTATCTTTTCAGACGTGTTCCATGCCTACAGGCATATAGCAAATACATTCTTAAAAACACAAACACACACAAATGGTAAAACACAATGCATAGTGTTCTTTACTTTTTTTAACTTAATAATATACCTTAAAGATTATTATTTATCAGTACTCAGAGAACTGCCTCATTCTTTTAATAGTTGTATAGTATTGTAGACTGTGCCTCAATTCATTAACATTTAATTTTCTAATCTTTGTTATTGGAAACAATATTGCAGTGATTGTCCCCAATACTATTTTTCATTTTATTTTGTTTTCTTAAGTGGTTGTTAACATTTATATCTCGATCTGTACAGGACAATAACGTACAGGGCTTTAAAATCAATTTTCCTGCTTTTCAAGAATTTTAGATTTGTCCTTTCTTGTTAAGAAATTATTAGTCACACTTGTGTGAATCAAGTATGTACTTGAGGTGGAGAGGAGATGAACCACTGGAAGGATAGTGAAATATTTCTCACCACCAGGCCTCCATCCTCCTTGCTAAACCAAAGAACGAACAATTTATTTCATGAATTAATAAAGGATCTTCCATATAACCTCTTAACAGAGACTTTTGCACAGAAATTAAATTTAAAAGAGGCTGTGACAGACCAGCTTCTGTGAATAGAGGAGATTTGTTCTTTTGAAAACTCTGACTAGATCTGAGGGCAAAGAAAGAGGCCAAGTTTTATCTACTTTTCATTCCCAAGAACACCACATGGCCCTAAAGAACTAGAGCTCTGTAATATTTCAGGTACTACTTGGTGTATTCCTTAACCTTTCTGAGCATGATTCGACTCATCTATATCAGACGAGGCAGGCTTTGGGGTCAGATATAGGTTTCAATCCTAGGTCCTCTACTTGGCATCCATGTGGCCTCAATTTTCCATTGTATAAAGTGAAAATAATAGTACAAAGATAATAATAGTTAGTATTATCAAGTGTTTATTATGTGCCTGGCACTATGTTAAAGGTCTTTACATACATTTTCTCATTTAGTTTTTGTGCCAGCTTATGAAGAAGCAGGATTCTTAGTAACTTGGTTTCTGGTGGGGGCTCAGGGAAGTGAAGGTTTCACATCTCACCAGTAGCAGAGCTGGGACTTCACTCCAGATAGATAATTGCCAAGACCTATGATAACCTTAAACTATAAGATACCTTACAGGGATGTTGTGAGAAGAACAAATGGTGTACAGAAAAAGCTGGCAAATAGTGGATGCTCCTGTTACATTAATAGTCATAAAACCTGTCCACATCTTACCTACCAAATTTAACATAAATTTCTTAGGGACAGAGTGATTAGAAACAGTGTAAGAGATATTTATTGACCACATGGATTCCTTGTTTGGGCAGGTTCTCCTGTGCGGAGAGCCAGGTACCAGTGGGTACGCTGCAATCCTGACAGTAATTCTGCAAACTGCATTGAGGAAAAGGGATCGATGTTCGACCTACTTCCAGGTGAATCCAACAGAATCCTTCCTCCAAGGACTGACCCTTTTTCGTAAGTGGACTTTCTCTGACTTTACTTCCACCAACCTCTGTTGAGATCTTGGCATGGAGGTGGGAGGGTTGCCCAGAGTGTTCTTCTTCAGGCTCTTGCTTTTGTGGTTTTGTTTTCACTGTACAGTACAGGGTAAAATTGTACTGTATTTACTGGTATACGAGATGCACAAGAATACATGATTCATCTACATTTTTGCGAGGTCTTTTTTTTGTGGCAGAAACAGAAATCGAATATTATTCAGAAATAGGTATTAAAATGATTGAATGTTATTTTATTAAGGCAAATAGAGCATATTATATACTAAAATCCAACAGGAGTCTATCACCTGAACAGATAAACAAAACGTAGTAACATCCCTAAAGTGGAATATTATTTGGCCATAAGGAAGAAGGAAGTACTGATAAATGCTAAAACATGGATGATGAATCCTGAAAACATGATGCAAAGAGAAGGAAACCAGGCACAAAAAGCCACATATCATATGATTCCATTTATATGACATGCAAATCCAGAGAGACAGAAAGTAGATTAGTGGATGCCAGGGGCTATGGAGGAGGAAGAATAAAGAGTGACTGCTTCAGGTATGGGATTTTTGAGGGGTGATAAAAATGTTCTGGAATTAAATAGTGGCGATTTAAAAAAAAAAGAAGAAGAAATTAGGGAAAGGAAGAATAAATGGTCATGACTTATAAAAAAGAAAGCCAAACCTCTTCTTGATCAGATAAAACCTGCTTTAAACTAGCAAAAAAGACCCAATAGGAATTCATAAGTAAGAAAAAATCAAACTGTATTAGAATCCATTATTTCAAAGGACATCAAAGGTATATGTAGCAAAAATGTTATGAAAGAAATATCATAAAAGTTTTAATTTTCAGACTTAAATAGAACACAGTATCATCTTCCCATCAGTATGCAGACATTGTCTAGTATCTTCTACATTTAGGTAAAATCCCTTCTTTGACCGTGTGTACACTCCAGCTGTTGCCCCCTTCTCTGCTCTTCACAGTAACACTTCCTGAAAGGGTTGCTGATGCTTACTGTCTCCCTCCTCCTCTCCTCAACCCCTTCTGGTCAGACTTCCATCCCTACCTTCCACCCAGAGTGTTTGTTAAGGCCACAATTACTTCTGGTTAACACATCTGCGGGTTACTTCTCTATGTTTAGCTTACCTGATTCCTTGCCTTCAAAAACAGCTGACCATCTCTCCTTTGAAATATTTTCTTCTCTAGGCTTACATGGCCTCACCTTATCTTGGGTTCTCTTCTATTTCCCTGGTTGTTCTTTCTCCTCTGATTAATATTTGATATGTTGGTGTGGCCCGACTCTGTCCGGGGCTGCTTCTCTATCTGCATACTTTCTTTAGGTGACTTCATCCTGTTCCATGGCTTTTGATACTATGTGAGCGTGTGTATGTGCATGTGTGCGTGTGTGTGTCTGTGTCTGTGTGTGGTGGGTGGGGGAGAGAGCGAGAAAGAGAAACTACCAAGTCTGTGTTTCCAGCACTGATCCCTTTTCCCTGATCCCACAGTCTAAACTAGCAGGCAGGTCACCCTCATTCCTCTGCATAGCATTTAGCTCCACCTAATATTTTCCTGATTTACTTATTTACTTTTTATTGTCTGTCCTCCCCAAGTTATAAACTTCTTGAGCAAGGACCTCATCTGCCATCTACCTCATCCCAAATCTATATCAGGCACTCAGAACAGAGATCAGATATTCACTGAATAGTTATTGAATGCATGCATGAAGGAAACTCTGATCTGTTGCATGGCCTGTGTTTTATTATTTTCATGGAGTAAATGACCCATAGGTTGTGAAACTAAACTTTTGTCTCTAATACTTTGTTGCTTTGTACTTTTGGTGCTGAACGGACTTGTAACTACTACAGTGAACCCAGCTGAATGAATGCACTTATTTTGGGGGATGAAATTGAAGGTCAATATGCTGGCAAATATAAGGCTTGACTTGTTACAAAGAATTTCTTAAGGGTGAGCTTTGTTGAAGCACTGTGAATTATTAGAAATTTTGTAGGAATTTTAAATTAAGAAAAAAATGTCATCTATCTAAGCTGATTTAATTGTTTGTCCTTTCTTTAGTGGGAGAACATGTAAAAATGGGGTCTTTAAAAAAAAAAAAGACCCCTTAAGCAAATCCCAAACTTAGGGTTGCTTTGCTAGTGATAAGAACATTAGCATTTTTTGCATGAGTCTGCAATGAGTAGATATGGACTTGATAAATGCAATGAGTTAGACACAATAAGTACAGGCAAACATGTGGAAAGGTCTGACTTATTTTTTGCTTTAAAGTACTGGATAACTGGGAAACTTTTAACTTCTAATTTGAGCAACTGAGTAGCTGCATTTATTTTCTTATCTTAGAAATTTATTACGATTATCTTTTTTACGTTTCAAACTTTAACGTATTTTTTTTTCTTTTTTCTGTCTTACTTTAGAATGACGAGATCCAAGAACCTAAATGATATCTTCCCTCTTTCTGAGGACTTTTCAGGATCAGGCTCTGGCTCTGAAGCAGGATCTGGAAGTGGCTTCCTAAGTGAAATTGAACAGGAATATCAACCAGTAGAAGAAAACAATGATTTTTATCACAACTTTAGGTCTCTGGAGAGAAATCTGCCCTCAGACAACCAGGACTTGGGTCAAGATGGACTAGAAGAGGATTTTACCATATAAAAGAGAGGGTTTCCCACCTTGACGCTCAGCAATGTATTTTGTGTACCATGGTTAAATGATTAATTTGGGGACAAAAAGCTTTAAAGAAATTTTAAAACGTCTGAAAATGAAGTTTAAGTTTTATCATCTTTTCTTTCTCATGAATTCTTAAAGCCTCCTTTACCTATACTATTGCCCTAGAAAATACCTGCACTTTTTTTTGTATTATATTCAACAACATCGCTATGAAATTAACCAGACTCCCCATGTCTATAAAATTGCTTTAAAGAATAAATTATATTGTTTTAAAAAAAAGTTAGTTTGAGAAGCAAATTGACAGGTACTATTTCATATCTAAGCCTTCAGGAACCTGACTCTGTGAATTCTAGATTCGCCCCTTTTCTTATGAAAAAACACAGATGAAACACACAGTGAATGTATAGAGTGGGTATTTGATATGTTTTAAGGTGTGAAGTTAACTGCTCTAATATTACCATTCAATGTGTTTGCAAAGCTAGTGGACATTATTGCGTAGAAGTGTGATTGCTGTCACAATTAGAAACTTAACACCCAAATTAAAGCACAGTTGTGCTCTCAATACCTCATACTGCTTTACCTTTTTTCCTGGATATCTATGTATTTTCAAATGTTACTGTATTAAAGCAGAAGTATAATCAAAGGGTTAAGTTGTCTAGGATCTCTTGTTCTAAACTCAGGATATAATTATTTTGTTCAGATGTTTCTAAATGTCTTATTAACAAAGTACCTGTAAAATTATTTTACAGTGAGAGCAAGTTTTGTAACTAGAATCAAATCTCATTAATCAGCAGATGAAGAAAACAATCACGCTACAATAAGAGGGCTATTCTTGTCCAAACACTTCCTCTTCTTGAAGGCTATTGCCATCTCTGTTCCCCTTAGTTCTCAAAAGCCTGTCAGCATCAGTGTCATGGATCCTGTTCTGCATCATCTAGATCCCCTCTTCAGAACCTAGGACTTATTCAAATTAACCTCTGTTGAAGAGAGACACCTTGTCCAAGGCCACACTTCTTCCCAGGGCAATCTGCACCCAATGCCTGATTGATGTGGGTATATTAATGCCAGACCCCTCCCCTGAACTTGGGGCAACTCAGCAAGGCCATCACAGATTCAGAGCTCCCTGAGAAGACTGCTGAGGCTTTGTAGGGACTGCTTTGCAGCTTAGTTTCTTTCTTTACTTAACTTTGTTTCTTTCCGTTCCCCACTAAGAGAGCTCCCTTAGAAACTTTCTGCACACTAGTTTTCATCTCAGAGTTTGCTCCATGGAGAATCCAACCTGCAATAGTTGGTGCCAGGATGGACAGAAAGCAGATGCTAAAGTGGAATTTTGGGACTGGATCACCTACTGCCTGGCTGGCAATGAGGAACCCATTCCTGGCTGTAGACACAGAACAGGCACAGGAGAGCATTGCAATTGTTCAGACTTCCACTGATGATGAACTGGGATGGTGTACCAATGGAAGGAAGTGCACTAGGGTCCAGTGTATCAGGCATCTGAGGAATATGGGGAAGTAGTAATTATAAAGACAATGGTATTAAATGGCTCTTGGTGGAGGCAATTAATGAAAGGCCAAGGATGATTAATTAAAGACTAAATGTGAAAACAAATGGGCTTCCTCAGGACCATATTAAGAAACTCTCTTCTGCAGTGGAAGGGTTGGAAGGGTTGAGGCCTAGGCCTAAAATGTAATCATAAGAATAGCCGAGTTTAAGAATGTTAAGCTGTCAATCTACCCAAGTTTGTTATGGGTCCTGATTGGGAAAATACTGGACCTTGAGAAATGAGGACATCTGGGTAGAAATGTATCTGGGTTGATACGTTCAGAATTTGAATCCTCAGATTTCCTTGAACCCTCTGAATCTATAGAAGGGGCCCACTCCTTAAGAACTAATGCTTTCCTCTGGCTTAAAGATGATTAAGAGGCTTCTGCCCTTTTAAGACCACATGCATGCTCCCTCAAGGTCTGCCCCGCCTCCCTGCCTAGCCACGAGATCAATTACTAAAATTACAGTATAACCCAACAGAAAAGTGTTGGCCCTGCTAAGGAGGAAAAGTGAAGGTTCTGTAGAACTTAGTTGTCATGTACCTCAGAAGCCAAGAGAGTGTCTATGTGACTTTAAGAGTGTTAGATTAAGGGATGGAGGCAAAATATCAGGTTGGATAAGGGAGTGTTTACCAATATGGAACTACTCTTCTGGGATACAGGATTTAATACTCTGGCAAGAACCCCAGGAGAAGGTGTTGACATGCTGCTATAAATTATTCTTAGAAGCTTGGAGAAAGTGACAGCCCCTCTTAAGTGAAGTAGAAATGCTAGAACTGCCATGGCAGGCACAGAAGAAGGGGTCAAAAGGTTTAAGGAAGTGAGCATGCTAGAATGAACAGACTGTGTAAGCTTCAGAAACCCACCAAAAGACTTTGTTCTGCAGGAAGGCCAAAGCAATGGAGAATATGCTGGTGAGAAGGACAGCATCTCTGAGCTATCAGTGGTAGATCTCCTCTGAAGGGCAGAGTTGATGGTAGAATGTTATTACAGGATGGAGTTCACTAATAGCCATGGGAATGATGGGGTCCAGAAATAATAGAGACCAGGTGGCAGTGTTCAGCCATCAGAAGGCAGAAGGAACAATTATCATAATGAGCAAGGGCATAATGAAACACAGGAAGCTTGATGGGCAAAGTTATGGAGTGACATCTTCAGAGGTAAGATAGATGGAAAGAGTTCTGCACCCAATTCCAGTATGTGTTGGCAGGAGGTGGGGGTGGGGATGGAAATTTCCCCACATCAACCAGCAAGTTTCTGACACCAGCTGGGGGTTCTACAATTGAACTCAATTCTGACACTATCTACCTAGAGAGAGCATCAGATCCACAGGTTAAAGGCTCAGTGCCACAAGGCTGACCTCCACTTCAGATGCCAATTGCAAACTTAGGTTGTTACCTGTGCTTCTGACTGACTGGCTGTAAACTGGATGTTCCAATGACCCCTTCCTTAGGTTCAATTAATTTGCTAGAGCGACTCACAGAACTTAGAGAAACACTGTATTACCCAGATGACAAATTTATTATAAAAGGGTATAACTCCAGCTGGATGAAGAGATACCCAGGGTAAGTATCCCAAACAAAGAGCTTCTGTCCTCATGTAGTTTGGGGCCTAGCACAGTGGCACATGGAAGGTTCTGGTTCCCCAACGTGGAAGCTCTCTGAGCCCTGTCCTTTTGGGGTTTTTTGAAGTTTCACTATATAGTTACGATTGAGTAAATCATTGGTAATTGAACTTAATCTCCAGTCCCTTCCCCGGAAGTCAGAGGGTGAGACTGAAAATTGCAACCCTTTAATCACACAGTGAGCTCCAATGGCCTGCAGTTCCCATCCTTAGGTGTGGTCCAAAAGTCACCTCATAAACAAAACAAATGATACCTTTCTGGGTTTTCATCTTCTAGGAAATTCCAAGGGTTTCAGGAGCTCTGTGCCAGAAACAGTGGAGACCAAATCTATATATTCCTTGTTATAAAGCACAGTGTCACAGCTGGGCAGCCAACAAAGGTATTGCTCAGTCTATTCAATCAGAAAAATTGAGGATGAATGATCAGGAGGCTTAGGCAGCTGCCTTAATAAAAATGTATGAACCCTTTGAACAGTTTCTTTACCTGAGCCAGTTTTCAGACCTGGAACCCACTGACTAAAAGAGAGGTTAGGTGTTCTGCAAATAGACCCTGTGACACCATGGCGAGTATATACACCACCGATTTCTCTAAGGCTTAACCAAGGGAACTGATGGCCATTAACTCAGGTACTATATCCTGGGGAAAGGAGAATATTTAAACATTTCAAGGACAGTCAGTCACAGGGTCTAACTGACTTTGATACATGGAGACCCAAAACATGATCATGGCCTCCCTGTTAGTGGGGCATTAGGTGATGAGGTAATAAATGGAATCTTGACCTAGCTCACGCTGGTCATTTTTCCAGTCCCCAAAAGTGTCATTAGAATGGGCATATTTGGTAGTTAGCACAACCCTACATTGGTTTCTTGACCTGTGTGATAGGAGAAGATCAAGTGGAAATTTCCAAAGCTACTCACTTCCATCCACCAACAAATTAAAAATACATTTCTTCCTAGGGGAATGTCAGAGATTAGTAGTACCTTTACAAACCTGAAGGATGCAGGGATCCTGGTCCCCCGTGTATCTCCATTTAATTCACCAGTCTGGGTCTTACAAAAACCAGATGGATCTTGGAGGGTGATAGTAGACTACCACAAATTCAACAAGGTAGTTCTAATTGCAGCAGCTATGCCAGATGTAGTACTTCTGCTAGTGCAGAGTTACACAGCTTCAGATACATGGCAGGCAGGCACTGAGCTGATAAATGCTTTCTTTTCCACCCCTATCAAAAAAGAGAATCAGAAACAGGTTATGTTCTCTTGGAATGGACAACTGTACACATTTAGTCTATTCCCAGAGTTATGTTAAATCTTCTACCCTCTGTCATAATGTAACCTAAAAAGACCAGGACTGGCTGGACATCTCAAAGAATATCATAGTGGTCCAGTGTATTGATGGATGTGAGCCTGTGTCCAGACCCCCATGTCATGCAACCACTGATGAAATGACATCTCTCCCTCAGCTCACATCTCACGTCTATGGCCATATGTTTGGGGCAGGGAGTGTTCTTTATGACTAACTGACAGAGTCGGAATAAGATCAAGCTTAGTTCACAGATGGATTGGCCTATAAATATAGGTTTAAGTCAGAAATGGATGGCAACAGAACTACAGTGCCAATCAGGAATAGCCTTGAAAATAGCTGTGAGTGGAAATCCTCCCAATGAGCAGAGCTTCAGGTGGTATACCTAGTCATTTACTCTGTGTGGAAAGAGAAGTAGCCCAAGGTTAGGACACATACAGTTTCATGGGTAGTGGTAAATGTTTTGGTCTGTTGGTAAGAGGCCTAAAATAGAAAGACTAGAAGATTGGGATTAAGAAGTCTGGGGTCAAGGCACATGAACGGACCATTAAGAGAAGATGCAAAGTGTGAAAATCGCTGTATCAAACGGCAATGCAAATCAGAAAGAATCTATTACAAAAGAGGCACTAAACAACCAGGTAGACAAAATAACTTGGGTAGTTATCAGTCAGCCTCTGTAATAGGCTCCCTAATGATAACACAATAAATTAATGGAGAAGTAGCCATAATGGCAAAGAGGGAGGCCACACATGAGTTCCCACCGACCATGACTAATTTAGCTATTGATGTTGCCAAATGTCCCATATGCTAGCAATAGAGCTCACTGCTGCGCCACTTATATGGCACGATTTCTCAAGGAGATTTTGGTGGCAGGTTGACTATATAAGGCCTCTTCCATCCTGGAGGGACCAGAGATTTGTTCTAACAGGAATAGACATGTATTCTAGGTATGTACTGTCTTTCCTACCTATTGGGCCTCCAGGAGTATTCACAATTAAGGGCTTACAGAATGTTTGATTCACCAACATGATTTCATATATAACATTGCATCAGATCGATGAACCCACTTTACAGCAAGGAGATTCAATTTCCCTCAAATAGAGGCATATAGGTTCAACTCAATCCCACTGAAGATCACAGCAGCTCCTCTTTTTTAAAATAAAAGTGGATTAACAATTCAAAAAGTTATATGGAAATACAAAGAACTTAGAACAGCTGAAACATTCTTGAAAAAGGACTAATTTGGAGTAATCACACATCCTTACTTCAAGACTTATTATAAAGTTATAGTAATCACTGCATTGTGGTATTGTGTGAAAGTAGACAAATAGATCCATGAAATAGAATTAAAAGAGCCATAATTATATATTTAATAGATTTTTGACAAAGGGACCAAAGTAATTTAATGGGGAAAGGAAATCATTTTCAACAAATGATGCTGGAACCATGTGTACAAAAATAAGCCCGCAAATCTTACCTCACATTATTTGCAAAATTTAATTTATGACAGACCACACAGCTAAATGTAAAACCCAAAATTCTCAGATCATCCAAAAACATTATTAAGAAAATAAATAGTGAAGCTACAGAATGAGAGAAAATATTTGCAATTAATATATCTGATATAGGACTTGTATCCAAAATATTTAATAAACTATAACTCAAGAAGACAAACATCCCAATGAAAAATTGGCAAGAGTATTTTTTCCTTTTTATTGATGTATAATTGACTTACCATATTATATTAGTTTGAGGTAAAGAACAGTAATTTGATATTTTAATGTATTTTGTCTATATATTATAATGCTGACCTGAGTATCAGCAATAATAGAGATGAACTTTAAAATGTGTATAAAGATGCTGTCCTGCTCTACTAAATAGAAATTTTACAGGTACACAAAAAAGCACATTTAACCATAATGTAAAGCTAATCCACAGACCACTGTTTTCACAGAAATTTCTGCTTTATAAATTTGGGTTAGGATTTTTTTTTGTTTTCCTTCCCCCTACTGTCTTACAGTTTACTTTTTTTGTGTGTATGGTAAAAAAATACGTAACATAAAATATACCATTTAAAACATTTTAAAGTATACAGTTCAATAGTGCTTATATTCACAGTAATGTAAAACAGATCTCCAGGACTTCTGCATCTTGCAAATCTGAAATTCTATACTCACTAGACAGCAACTCCCCTTACCACTTCCCTCCAATCTCTGGTAACTGCCTTTCTACTTTTGGTTTCTATGAATTTGACTACTTTAAATAACTCATGTAAGTATAATCATACAGCGTCTTTATGTGACTGACTTACTTCACTTAACATAATGCCCTCAAGTTTCATGTATGTTGTAGCATGTGATAGGATTTTCTTCCTTTTTAAGTCTGATTAATATTCCATTCATCCATCCAGGAGCACTGGAGTTGCTTCTATCTCTTGGCTATCTCTTGAATGAAAATGAATGTTCATATGCACTATGAACATGGGTGTGTTAATGCCCTCTTTGAGACCCTACTCTCAATTCTTTTGGATCTACACCCACGACTGGGATTGCTAAATCATATGGTAGTCCCATTTTCATTTTTCTGAAGAAACTCCATACTGTTTTCCATAGGGGCTGTACCATTTTGCAGACTCGATAACAGTGCACAAGAGTTCTGATTTCTCCACATCCTCACCTACACTTATTTTCTGTTTTTTTTTTTAAAAAAACAGTAACCATCCTAATCAGTGTGAAGTGATATCTTGTGGTTTTGATGTGCATTTCTCTGGTGATTAGTGATGTTGAGTATTTTTCATATGCTTGTTAAACATTAGTATATCATCTTTGGGAAAATGTTTAAGTCCTTTTCCCATTGTTTAATCAGTTTACTTGATCTTTTGCTACTAAGTTGTAGGAATTATTAATATACTCTGGATTTTAAGTACATGTTATTGAGTTATAGGAGTTCTTTAGGTATTCTGGATGTCTTATTATACATATGATTTGCAAATATTTTCTCCAGTCCATAGGTGGCCTTTTCACTGTTGTGTCCTTTGATGCGTGGACATTTTTGAGTCCCATTCATCTACCTTTGTTTTTGTTGCCTGTGTTTTTTTGGTGTTACAAACAAGAAATCATTGTCAGTTCAACGTCATGAAGATTCTCCCCTAGGTTCTCTTACAGGAGTTTTATAGTTTTAGGTCTTATGTTTAGGTCTTTAATACATTTTGAATTAATTTTTGTATATGATATAAGACAAGGGTCCAACTTCATTCTTTTGCATGTGGATACCCAGTTTTCTCAACACCATTTGTGACAAGACTGTCCTTTCCCCATTGAGTCATGACCGCACCTTCGTCAGAGACCATCTGACCGTAAGTGAGGATTTTTTATTTTTTATTAGATTTTTATTATTTAGAAAAGTTTTAGGTTCACAGCAAAATTGAGCAGCAACTACTGAATTCCCGTGTATTCCCTGCCCTTCTCTACATGCCAAATAAGTTTTTAGTTTCCTCACGTGAACTTAAGATTACACATTTTAAACCTTTCTTTTTAAATACATGCATTTAAAGCCATAGCTCTCCCTCTAAACACTACTTTGCTATCCCATAAATTATGTTGTATTTTTCATTATCTTTAAATTCAAACTATTTTAAAATTTCCAGTCATGTCTTCTTTGACACAGAGGTTTAGAATTAAGTTGCTTAGCTTCCAAATATTTGTGGATTTTCTGGCTTTTTGTTATTTTTAGGTTAATTCTATTGTGGTTAAAGACTACACTCTAATTCCAAGCCTCTCAAATTTGAGACTTGCTTTATGGCCCTGCCTCACAAACTTGATACTGTTTCGTTGTGATGGGATAACTGATGCATTCAGACTACTTTTTTTCCTGCTTTGGTTACGCATAGAGTGCACTGTGGTACTTCTACACTAAGTTTTGAAATCCTAAAACAGTATTCCACTCAGGGTAAGTCCTCTAGGCTGATCCTACAGTGATTAGGATGCGGTTAAAGCCAGAGTACCCTTAAGCAGCATCATATGACTTTTTAGGAAGGCTTTCCCCTCCTCACTGAATGGCTGGGCGGTACAATTGAGCCGCGAGTCCTCCACAGCTGGAGATGGATAGTTGAAGAGCTATCCGCGTACTTCATGAAGGCACGGATGTAGTAGCCTAACATTTCTTTTAACGTGGGGGGTCTCTTCAGAGGTGACAAAGCTAATAAGTGCTCAAAACTCAGTCTCTGAGCAAGAGGGAAAAAGTTGGGTAGAGTTCGAGAAAAGTGGTAGAATGCTTTATCCCGCGATTAAGAGAGCGCGTCTCTCGCGAGGCCTAAAACAGGGCCTCAGGTAACAGCTCCCTTTCAACCCGGTGGACCAGTGACCAACCCGCAGAGAGCGCCTACCGAACAAACCTTTTCTTCCTTCCTTTTTTCTTTTCCAGCTGCTCAAATTTCCACAGGGAAGAGGAACCGGGTGTGGCAAAAAAAAAAAGTCTTTCAGAGAACCACCGGTCACGTGACGGACAAGAGGCCGTGGAGGACCTGGAGAGCCTACGTCCGCTCTGGCCCCTCCCACTTGACGCTCTCTCAGTGACCCCACCCCCTCCGCTATAGGGTGGAGCACAAGGCCCCGCCTCCAAACGGCCTCTCCTCCGAGGGCCAGGCTGGCCTGCAGGGCGGGGCGAGAGGCCCGGAGCGGGGCCTGTGTAGGGAGGGGGAAGGAGAGAAGGGAGGGGTCACGTGCGGCCAGGCGCCCGAGGTCACGTGACGGGGCGC